CTGGCGGCTCTTCTCCGGTGGGGGAAGCTCGGCATCCTCATGGCAGCAGCTCGCTTCATCTCTCCGGGGTGGCTGGGGATGGCTCTCTTTGGTGGCTCGCCGGCCTGGCTCGCAAGCTTCCCGTGGCTCTGGAGCCCGGGGCAGAGGTGGGCAGCTCTTGGCCTCCCTGTCCTCACGCTCGCTCACCTGGCAGCTGGATTCGGGCTCCCGCGGGACTCTCTCCCTGGCAGCTTTTGATGCATCTCCCTGGGGGTGACGGTCCTTCTCTTCCACATCAGACATTTTGGGGCGCTGGCTGTCCCTCCTGTCCTTGGGCTTTGCCTGGCAAGGGTCACCCTTAACACCACCCACCTTGGAGGCAGAAGCCTGGTGAGCCCCTTTCTTCACCCCTGTTTCAGACCTCTCCTGTGGCTCATGGAGATCCCCTGTGTTTTGCTGGGAGCTAGAAGCTGGTGTGCCCCTTTGCCGTGGCAGTTTGGGCTCCCCTGTTTCTCGTGCGTCCCTTGGGGGTCGTGGCTCTGGGTGCTTGCTCCTGCCACCCGGGACTGCCGGTGGCTGGGGTGACACGTAGCACTTCTTCACGTAGATGGGCTGCCCCGGGTCGTGGGGCTGGTGGCAAACGATCTTGTAGCTGGTAGCTTCAGGATCGTTCAAATTCTGGATCACGTGGATCAAGTACGCAATGGTCTGAGGCTCGCAGGACTGAGGGAGGACCCGCACCTCCGGCCGAACATCGGGCTCAGCGGGGATATAACGAACCCTCATGTCGGTGACAGACGCCTCCTCTCCTGGGAGGCAGAGGTCTCTGTTATCCACCTCCACGGTTTGGTAGAGATTCCTCTCGTGCCTTCGCCCTTCATCCTCAAATGTCCGGCACCGGTTTGGCTCACGTGCTTCTTCATCACGTAAAAGCCTGCGCCTCCTCCATTCTTGGTCTTCTGAGGGCTCACAGGGAGTGCTCTCACACGGCTCAAGCTGTAATTCATTTACCTGACAGCGGTCCAGAATATCTCTCTCCTGTTCTTCTTCGAGTATCTCGAGCCTGCTTCTCTCACGTGTCTCTCTGTGGGATCTCATGGCATCTCGTTCTGCCCTGTCGCGCGTCTGGCGGCTGCGGCGCTCATAGACCTC